GGGGGGTCAGGGGGTGTTAATCCCATTTATTATGGGTTCTGGCTGGGGAAATGTGTGAGGTGGGTGCTGCCAGGTTATTCCCTGAGCTTTTTTCTCCTGGAATTGGTTGTTGGATGTTGTGGTGAAGGTTTGGTGAAGGTTTGGTTAAGCTCAACTGTTGCTCTGTCCTCCTAAAACTCTTGGTCTGGTTGTTGGGAGGATGTTGTTAAATTAGAAATGGTTGAAAGAAGGATTTTTCAATCAGAAATGTTGCTCTGCAGCGTGGAGGGGGATTTTGCATCACAAAAAATTCACGTATCCAGCCAAGATACCTTCCTAAAAAACCTGCTGTGTTTCAAATCCCAACCTCTGAACACGAGGGAGGCTTTGGAAAAGAAACATCCTAACGACCATTTCCACAGGAACTCAAGAGTGGTTAATAATAATAATTAATAATAATGACTTTTGTTTTGCTTTTTACACCTGCTGGAAGAACTGATCTCCAGATGGTTTTTTCCTACCACGTCCTCACCAGCAGCTGTAGGACAACCAAAGAGCATCGAAGCTTCGTTTAATCTACTGCTGTTAATGAAACAGCAGGAGGTGATGGTACAGATGCTTGTGCTTTTGGGAAGATTAATTAGTGTTTGTCATTGGTGCTGCAGACTGTTGTACAAACACCTTGTTCTCGTCGTGTCGTCGGGGGGGAAAAGCAGAATCACAGGATCACAGAGTCACAGGATGTCAGGGATTGGAAGGGACCTCGAAAGATCATCCAGTCCAACCCCCCTGCCAGAGCAGGAACCTCAATGAGATCACACAGGAAGGCGTCCAGGCGGGTCTTGAATGTCTCCAGAGAAGGAGACTCCACACCCTCCCTGGGCAGCCTGTCCCAGGGCTCTGGCACCCTCACTGGAAAGAAGTTTCTTCTCCAGTTGAAGCAGAACCTCCTGTGTTCCAGCTCACACCCATTGCCCCTTGTCCTACCATTGGGCATCACTGAGAAGAGCCTGACTCCATCCTCCTGACATTCACCCTTTACATATTGATAAACATTAATGAGGTCACCCCTCAGTCTCCTCTTCTCCAAGCTAAAGAGCCCCAGCTCCCTCAGCCTTTCCTCAGCAGGGAGATGCTCCACTCCCTCCATCATCTTGGTGGCTCTGTGCTGGACTCTCTCCAGCAGTTCCCTGTCCTTCCTGAACTGTGGGGCCCAGAACTGGACACAATATTCCAGATGTGGCCTCACCAGGGCAGAGTAGAGGGGGAGGAAGAGGAGAACCTCTCAATTCCAGCCCACATCTGCAAACGCTCGAGCTACACAAGGTCAGGGGGGGGCCTGTTCCTCCCCCCATTCCTGGAGAGATGCCCTTGAATGTCAGAGTCATGGTTACTACAATCACTTCGCAGAGAGCAGCACCCACTCCCTCCAGGCACCACAAAATCCCCTTTTTTAACCTCCTGTGGTTAAAACTCTGCCAGTTTTGGGTTGGGACAGTGACTTCTCATCTCGCTGGTGCTCAGAGCTTTAATGAAATGCTGTCCTGAAAACAAAGTGTGTGGAGGAAAGGGAGGGTGATACCTTCATCTCAGGTTTGTTGTCCTGAACCAACCTTTTCCCTGGAGCTGGGCAGATGTGCTTTCTTGGGGATGATGTGCCCACCCTCTCTGATAATTGCTGTATTGAGAGTGAAAAATGGACTGGCTTGGTGTAGCTGTGAACTTAGAGTGTTGTTTGTGTCTCACAAACGAGGTATTACAGCTGAGGAGACTTAATTACAGGGTGTCATAAAGAACCAACCCCTGGGCAGAGTCTAGAGACTGGAGTGAAGAGCTCAGTGGAGAAGAGAGAGAAGATTTGTGGAGGAACAGCCTCAAACCTCTGGTGTTAGGATTGATTTTAAGATATAAAACCACTGAAGTGAGGAATCTTTTCCTGCACCCCACCTCGCTGACGTTTCCCAGTGGTTTATTTGTCACTTCTTTGTCACTCACAAAGCCTTTTCTATCTTCTCTTCTCTCTCTTTTGCAGATGTGTGGGTCGGCGTTGCCTGCTGGCTCGGCTCAACCCCGGCTTTTCCCTGCGACAGTGAGTTTGAGGTTTTAACTGAGAGTTTAATAAAAGGGATTAAATTCTTCCCCGAGGGGATCCCATCTGAGGCTTTGTGTGCTCTCCATCCTCTTCATCATTCTGATCAATCAACGCCAACGTGTTGGTTGAGCACTTAACAACCTTGTGGTGCCACCAGAGCACGGGCTGTTTATAGGGCTTGTGCTTGGGGATGATGGGGGAGAAGCTGGCTGGCTGCTTGAGGTCCCCAAATCTTCTGTCCCCAAATCTTCTTGTGCTGAGAGTGGTCACACTACAGTGTCCTGCTGTTGTCAAGCTCAACTCAGAACTCGTGTCCTGGCACAGCAGACCCAAGTGAAGGGTTTCTTATGGCCCTGTCACCCCTCTATCCCACTCTACCTCACATCTTTGCACCTGAGGAAGGCTGTGAGCCACAGAAACCCTCTCCTTCCTGTGTTTTATGCTGCTGGGTTTAGGGAGAAATAGTTATTTTCTGCTAAATTGAGCTGTAAGTGTAATTGCTGTGTGTAATCTCGGGAACATTAAATTACAAAGCTCTTTTATTTGGTACAATGTGCAATTACCACAGCAGTAAAGAGCAGGTTGGATGTTATCAGTATTATATAAAGTGTTATCTGATATCCTTAAACCCTGACTGGGGTGGTGCTGGGAGGGGTGGCTCAGCTTCACTGGCTGAGTGGATTCCAGTGCAGCAGTTTCCCATCCTGTGTAGTATTTATTATTATTATTATTATTATTGTTATTAATTCAGAAGAGCTGGCAGTGATCCTCTCCTTGCGTGCGTCCCTGCACAGCTGGAGCTGTTCTTTGTCCTGCTGTTGTCAAGGTCAACTCAGAACTCGTGTCCTGTAGGATGGAAAACTGGCACAGCAGACCTCAGTGAAGCAAGCAGGGGTAGAAAATATTGCTGCCCATCTCCTCACAGCTCCCATCTCCTCTTCTTTTCCAGTATTGTCCCCATGGGAACAACAGCCAAAGAGGAGATGACCCGTTTTTGGGAGAAGAACACCAAGTCCAATCGTCCCTTATCCCCTCACATCACCATTTACAAGTAAGAGTAAATTACTTGTAATTATTCCTTCGGCTTCCTTAGCTTCACACTGGGCTCTGCCTCATCTTTGGAGGCACCTTTGGAGGCTGCACGTGTTCCCACCATGAACATTCCTACTGTCACCTCAGGCAGAGGACACAGACACCCTCTAAACTGCTCTGTCAACAGACTGAGCTGCCTGTGGGCATCGCAGCCTCCCCCCACCACGGGGTTGGTGACACTGTTTTCAAACAGGGTGTTGTGGAAGGGGTACAGTTGTGTGTCCCCCCCTCCCCAAAAGCTGCACCTTGGGGTGCTGGGGAAAGGGCAACATTTCCAGATGTGCTGTTGAAAAGCAGCTGCTTCCACAGAGGACGTGGAGTTGATGGTCCTCGAGGGGTGGAGGCAGGAGGTCAATTGTTGGGGTTTTGGGTTCACACCTCAGGAAGGTGATGGCTTCTTTGGGGTCACCTCTGGATGCCCAAACCCTACCCCTTTCTTCCTCAGATGCAGAAGGATGCCTGTCTTCTGTTTCATCTGCCTTTCAGCTTTCTCAGCAGACACCCTTCCCCTTCCCCAACCCGTGCCAGTGGCATTTACCATTCCCAAGCTGCCTCTGCAAATTCCCCTTTTGCTCTGGCTGGATTCTTTGAATAACTCTTTTGAGTACAGAAATACCCACCCAGCAACACTGGGAGCTGTCTAGGAAAAGCTGGGTTGTGTTTTCTCCTGCTGTTGTACCCTGTTTTATTGATGAGGTTGATTGTTTTTCAGGTGGTCCCTACCCATGGCGATGTCCATCACGCACCGAGGCACCGGCGTCGCGCTGAGCTTAGGTGTGTGCATCCCCCAGCTGCTTGTGGGGGCTGTGGGAGGGAAGACCCCCTCTGATTGATACAGAGACCTCATTCCCTACAGATGTTTTCTCTCCTCTGTCCTCAGCTTCAGCAACAGCTTTTCTCCTGGGTTTTGTCCCCTGAATATCTCCCCATCCCCATTTCTCTGTCCCCAAATCTTCTTGTGCTGGGAGTGGTTCCAGTCCTGCAGTGGCATTGATGCTCCCCTGTATATAAAAGCTTTTGCAGCACTGTGACCTGGCTACTTTCTTCAAGGCCTTTCCCAGCCTGGAAAAGGCTGATCTGCTGCTCCACTTCTCAATCCTTCTCTTCTAGGGCTGTTTTTTGCTGATTTAACCTTTCAGGAGACTCTCTGTGAGGGAAAGACTGACAGGCAGGCAGAGTTCAGAGGATTTTCCTTAGCACAGGTGGAATTTTTCACCTTCCTGGGAGTGGCTCCTGCTTTCCCAGAGATCCTGATAGGAGAGGAGGTGGCATCAAAACTGATGAACTCCCTCCAGCAATTTGATTTGTGTGGTTTGATTAATTTATAGGACATCTAATTGCGAAAGGCTGTTTTATTTCCATTAATGCCCTCTCATGGCAGCAGGAAAGTTCTTCTCTGGTAGCTCCCTGGTGAGGTAGGGGGGAGCTGGGTTGGTGTTTGCAGAAGGATAGAGAAAGGACTCAGAAAAGATGTGCAGGATTGAGGAGTTGTGTTTTTCACTCAGAAAGCAGTGAGGGCTGCAGCCTGCCCTTCCCAGCCAGCCTGGCCTCCTTGAGAGCTTGGGATGTTGATCTCAGGATGTGCCTGGTCCCCGTGGGCTTTGGTCAGCATCCAGCTCGTTGTCAGATGGGCCGAGCTGGCAGGTTCACTGTTGCCTTTCTGCTTTGATCCATCAGCCTCTGCTAGAGGGGAAATCAACCTCTTCCCAGGCTGATTGAGCACGAAGGGACAATCACTTCTGCCAACCACAGCTCGGCAGCCGGGAGATGGAGGGGGAAGCGTTCAGCTCCTCTCCATCAAGGCCTGTTAATTACAGGAGCTGCTGACTTCCTGGGCTTCTTAACAGGGTGAACACAAAGGCCATTGAGGAGATAAGTGGTTGAGTGAGGAGGAAGCAGCTGGTTGACTGGTGCTGCCAGCCCCGGCCTCAGCCGAGGTGCTCGAGCGTAATCAGGCGCTATTGAGCAGAGGGTGAATCGCGATTCGGCTGCCTGCTGCCTGCCATCGTCCTCTTTCTTTTGTCAGCACCATCTGGAGAAACCCTCTTGGCCTAGAAATGAGGAAGGAGAAGCTGCTGTGGCTCCTGCAGTTAGCACAGCCACGTGTCTCAGGCTGTCTCTTTGTCTGCTGGTTCCTCGTTAAATCGCTGCCTGTGTCGTGGGTCGCGGCAGAGCAGTTTCTGTCCTGAGATGTATCATAGAATCATGGACTGGTTTGGGTTGGAAAGGACCTTAAAGATCATCCAGTTCCATGAGCCAGCAGCAGGGACACCTTCCACTAGACCAGGTTGCTCAAAGCCTCATCCAACCTGGCCTTCAACACTTCCAGGGAGGAGCAGCCACAGCTTCTCTGGGCAACCTGTTCCAGTGTCTGACCAACCTCACAGTGAAGAACTTCTTCCTAATATCTCATCTAAACCTCCCCTCTTTCAGCTTAAACTCATTTCCCCTTGTTCTGTCATTAACTGCCCTTAGGAAAAGTCCTTCCCCACCTTCCTGGAGCCCCTTCAGGTACTGGGAGGCCACTGGAAGATCTCCCTGGAGCCTTCTCTTCTCTAGGCTGAACAGCCCCAACTCTCTCAGCCTGTCAGATCCAGGGACTTTTCCTGAAGAGCTGCCACCTTACATTTCCCAACATTGTCGTCCTTTTAACCTTGAATTTGGACTGCTTTGGCTGCAATTGCATCTCTGGGTGTTGTATGAGTAACGCAGCCCCCAGCGTAGGACAGATTCAGGGTGTTGCTGCCCCAGTTTTGTGTCTTCAACACTCCAGGGCACATTGTCACAGTGCAGCTGGCACTGCCACCAAACAAACCCTTCTCCCTCCTCCTTCCTCTGCAAGCTGCCATGAGCTGATGGTGGTTCAGGTTGTGTGTCACCAAATTAGAGATGTAGAGGTGTGGCCTGGGTCTCTTTGTGGGCAGCAAGGGGTTGGTGATGCTTCTTTCTGCTGGCTTGACCCCATGGGCTTTGTCTTTCTCAGGAGTTTCCCTCTTCAGTCTGGCTGCTCTGCTCCTCCCAGAACAATTTCCCCACTACCTGGCCATGGTGAAGTCACTCAGCTTGGGACCTGCTCTCATCTACTCTGCTAAATTTGCTCTGGCTTTTCCCCTCTCCTACCACACCTGGAATGGAGTCCGACACCTTGTGAGTAAACTGGGGTGTGAGGGAAGAGAAACCTCTGCTGGCTGTAGCATCTTGGGAAGGTGCCCTTGGCAGTGGGAATTAGTCACCTCAAGTGTTTCAGAACCTCTCTGCTATTTTTGGGTACATTTAAGTTGCAGAAAGCATTGCTGTTGCTGATATTTCAGCAGGGGAGCATCCCCCTGCATCTCCTTGGCTGTGAGAGATGGATCAGAGGAGGTGGGAGCAGGGGATGTGTCCACAGAGCCACAGGCTGGAGCTCTGCAGAGGTTCCATCCCGTTGCTTATTATCTCCCCCTTGTCATGCAGCTGTTGTGCTCTGATCTTCCAAGTGCTTTCTAGTATTTAATGAGCCCAGGAGACGTGTGGCAAAGGATTGGAGATGACGTTGCCTGTACAGAAAGTAACCTGTGATGTTTGCCTTGGGCTTTAATGTGGAACAAGCAGCTCCCTTTCAGCCCAGCTTCCTGTGTTTGATGAAGGAGGGGGGGAGCTGGAGAGAATTTCTTGCTGGGAACAGGACAAGACGTGCTGCTTTTTGTAGTTGATTTTGTGTTTTCTGTAGCTCCAGATAAGTTTACAGGAGTAAATTACAAAGGCAGCTGGCTCAGAGCGTGACACGATCCTCCTGCTCTGGGCTGGGCTGAGGAATATCACGTGTGGAGTTGTGCTGCAGATGTGGGCTCAGGCTGTGGGTGCTGGCAGCTTCCAGTGTTTCCAGTGTGGAAACACACAGAGAGTCACAGAATGTCAGGGATTGGAAGGGA